ACAACAACGCTTTTATCCGACGACTTAATCCGAATTCGGATCAATTTAACTCTCGATGTTCATGGCTCTTCCGGAGTTCATTCGCCCACATCGGCGACGCAGTACTTCAAAAAAATAATCGCTAATTCCTTATGCAAATAAACGTCTTCGACGAAGAACTGCACATAATCAACGAGCTGATTGAATGAATAAGTCACCGCACCTTAAGGGAATTAGACGGTGCGCAACATATTAATGAGCATAAAAATGCTAGTTTTACAATTAAAATCGAAAGATAATATAATCATCCGGGTACGACGCAAGACGGTCTACGTGTTGAAATTTTAGCATCTGAATAACGAAAGATTTAAATGTAAATACAACTATGAATAGATTTTAAAACGATTTCAACCTCTAAAGTTATTGTCAGTTTGTCTAGTCCGACCCGTTACTGTTTTTGTTAGGACTTTTCAACTTACGGAACCCGAGTAAAAGGTGTAACCTTTGCAGCTGGCAACAACCTCTTATTTATTTGAATAATTCAGAATGAAAGGATTACTTTTGAAGAAACGTGACGAGTCATTCAATTTTTTTTTGAAAATAAAATGAACTGAACATAGACTATCGTTGGAATAATGCAAACAAAGGAAGAGGGTGTATTTTGATGCAACTACTGCAGTAGTAAGTGAATGAACTTCTACAAAGATTTTTGGATGGTTCTGTAGTTGTTTGATGCTCATCCAATAGATACAGGAAATGATGTACTGTTTGACCATATTTCGTGACTTGTTCTACATAATCTGACAAAGGTCATCTGAGGGTTAAGTCGCCTGAGCATGAATATTTGCTCATTTCCGGATAAACAGTAATTTTATTATAAAATAGTACTACCGACGCACTGTGGTTCTACATGTTAAATAATATCGACAACAATAATAAACTAATTATATTTACAGTTTCTGCATCTCACATAAGAAAATACTTATAATTCTATTCAAATTTTACCTGGCATAACTAATCATCTCTTTTTACTACCAACTTTCTGTATGTTAATTCAAATTGAATCATTCATGCGACATTCTCTTAAAAGGAGACATAAAACATATTACAGAATTACATTAAAATTATTCTTGCGCGTTTATTCCGTCCAAGTAGTTAGATATTCCGAACCATATCGGCGTTAAATCAGGTATACTCCATTGTTATTCTTCAGTTACTCTAACAGTTAATTATGAATGTTTATGATCATCGCACCGTAAGTAATTTTATCTTCGGAATCAAAACATTGAACTAATTCGATTTTTTTAAACAGTAAATTCACTATGAACTTTTTGTTGCGTAAGGCATCAAACGAAGGATGACCAAAAGACTTTTACATTGGGATTCGCTTAGCTGATTTACAACAATAGATTTATTTTATTGTCATTAGAGGTATACTAAAATCCATAAATTTTTACACCGACCGGCCATAAGACCGCGATACCGATACGATAAGTAAATAAATTTTAAATGGACTTTTACTAAACCGGTTATCTATAGTCAACATGCTGATGCATTTTAATCAGCATAATTATTTATGTGTTTTATTTATAGACACCTGGTTTTTATGGGATTTACATAGAACTCTGTAATAAAGGAATTGTTCGTGTGGTTACGGGTTTATCATTGTCCAATAAATAGCGCAATTAAAATAGCGATGTCTTGGCTAGATTTTCCTTTATTTTTTTTTTTCGATTCCAATCAGACGCTTTGTTTCAATTTCGAACAATACATCCCGTGACAATCAATTGAAATATTTTTCCCAATAACAATGAATAACAGTTCAATACAACATCATCTTATAAATTAATAATAGATAAGTAGATACGATTTTAATTTTAAATCACGTTCTATTAATAATTTCGTTAAAACAGAAAGGTAAACGACCATAATATTTTTTCGAACGAGTAATTAGTAATAACAGTTATTTGCCGGTTTTACTATAGCAAATTTGAAATTACTCTCGGTTATTTAATACCGCTTTACTTTCCTTTTTGCCTGAATTAAAATTGGGAAAGCGGTGTATTATTAACACGATCGTTGATTCCGGCAAACAAACAAACCTTCGCCGGTTCTAATTTTCAAAATGCGTAACAGAAGTAAATGAAGAGCATAACGAATAATTACATAAACAAGGTGAGAAATTCACTCCGAGCTGTAGAACGCAGATCTGTGTCGCAATTAAAACAATTTCACTCGACTTTGCTCGTTCGCATGGGTGTACTGAACCGGTAGCACTTCATATTTAAAACAAATACGGCGTGAAACATATTTTTTTCTATTCGGGTGGAAGCGAATCTAACGTTGTTGGACGTACCTTTTCCCTTCATTGCATTGCTTGTTTTTTATTTTATGCGATTTACGCAATCAATTAGTGAGACTCTAATATTTGCTCCGATAAGTTTCGAAATTATCTTACAGGACTCTAATCAGGCAATTAACGACGAATATAATATATGATTTGTCGCATCTGTTACAATCTATTTATCATGTAAATTAATAGACATGCTGTTCTAGTTTACATCTATTTATTATGCAGAATATCGTTAGAGTTACGTAAAAAATATAGCTATAATACCTGCTATTTAAGTCAATTTTTATCGCATTTACTGAAAATTTACTGAAAGACCATGAATATTATTAACTCAGCAAGTAGATACTTTTCACATATTATAAAAAATGTACAGTAAAATTTACCAACAATATGCCAGTATTGCAATAAGCTAATATTGACTGATAAAATAAAAAACAGGAGACAAGTTTGTTGTTATTTAACACCTGTTGGTTACATTCTTACCGAGTCGACTGTTTATCGCACAAATTCAAAAAGGACGAGTTTTAGAAGCTTTAGTGGAACTTTTCAATTACTAACAGGATGCTCATTCGTAATGTCTAATATATTTCAATTAGTGTCCAATTTTGAAATACTTTTAATTGTGGGAACTGATTGTTAACTTCTTCAATTCAATTCTATGATTCGCATTTTTTATTGGTTTAATTGAAATTATTACAGGGTTATTATAATTTAAATTTGTATTACAGCGAAATGATGAATCGTGTCAATATTCTTAAAGAATGTGAAAAAAATCAACCGACAACGCCCAATCATTGTTCCATTTTTTTGCAATGTACATCATAATAAGAGGCAAAGACCCGACCTCGAGATTATATAACTTATACTGTAAAGCATACATTGATATAAATTGAAGATAATAGCTAAACACGATTACTTATTAGAATAATTTTCTAGCCAATTTTAATAATTAAAAACCCCATGCTTCTTTTGCACATTAATTCTATGAATATTCATACATATAGTGTTTCCAATAAAATATAAATTATTTACATAAATTATACATCAATAAAAATCTAATTCAACCTTCTTACATAGTTTTCAAAATTCAATGGCAAATTATTTAATATCATTATTTTATTAGGTATCTATCTAGTAGAACAATTTTATAATCTCTTCCTCATACAGAAATCCTACGCAATTTTTTTTACATTTTTATTGGACCATTGTTAGATCGTTTTGTGTCATTAAAAATATCGAGCATAAATTATAATCATCTACTGAATAAATTATGTATTTCTGTTAAAACCTTGAATATTTTAATTGTAGTGCCAGTTATGGAGTAACGCGGTTTTTTATGTACACATTTAGAATAATTTACTATATTTTTGTGACGTATACGGGAAGAAAACGTGTAAATAATGCATTGAGGCCCATTATTAACAGATGTGAGATGTCAAGAACAATCGTTGATTACTAAATTATTAAAATTAATTTGACACGACAAAATATGTTAATCTTACGCGTTGCTAAACAATTCCTTCACATTAAATTGTTTCGATTGAAATCAAAATGAAAGTGTTTAGATATTATGCTTATTAGAATTTAGTTCCACCAATTCGTATAAAAAATATATGGTAAAAATTGCTTATAGAAATGCAATCAATCGTCGATAACCATGAAATCCCGTAGAATTAAATACCTAATTTAGCAAGTCACAATGGCAACAATAGAATAAATTGTTATGCTAATTCTATTATTTTCACGGAAAATTTGATTGTTGAGTCAATTAAGGACACTCGCCTTCCTAAATGGCAATTCTAAATAGTTTTCAATGCTTTTGTAAGGCTGATTTGCTCCTACATGCATATTAGTAGAACAATAGGTAACGCAGATGTAACAGTTTCGAATATTTGACGTCTTTTTGAATCCTACGATTTTTAAATTTCATTGAAAAAATACTGAAATTGCAGGATCTACGATCACTATTGATGAGGTAATAAATTATATCATTCTTTTTTGTAATACCTGATACGCAATGGTGAAATAAAAATTTTTCCCAGAGGATTTCGAGAATACGGTGTTTCTTTTAACAAGGCATCCCATTAATATATTACCCGACCGGTTTCGTATAATAAACTTCATCGGTTCGAATAAAAGACGCCGGTTTTAATTAATAACCAACCGATGTATTCACAAACGACTGTATTTCAATGCAACAATTCACAAAATTGACATAATAAACCAAAAATGACACATATTAAGTGATAAATGTTTTATGTTGTTATTTAATTTCACAACTGCACTCGTCACTGCGTTATTCGTTTTCCCAAATATTCCGGGAATCTAATCTGAAGGCGCGGTTTGCACTAATAAAATTTTAACGCATTTGTGTAACAGTGTAAACACATTTTATTGCACACCCGACTATTTAAAATGTAAAATTCCCGAACGGTATCTTGATAGTAAATGTTCAAAACAAATAAAATTAGGGCGAGCCACTTTCGCTCGAAATAAATCGGCGTATTTAACAAGAACGCAACCGGATTACATTATAACATTGATTCGAGTAGGTACTTCGAACAAAAATTAACAGCAATATAGCCGGAAAAGTTTGATTTAAATTTCGTACAACAAATAATCCTCAGAGTCTAGAAAATAAAACTAAGTCTCAACAACAGAAAATTACCATAATTGCGCACACATCCGAGCCTCACGTTTTAGCCGACCATCATCAACAGCCATCCAGCATTATCCTTATTTTACATTCGTCGCCAGAAAGAGACACGAAAGCCCGGGAATCGGCTAATCCTCCGAGTAACATAAATCACTTAGAAAAAAAAATTGCACTATTAGAGAATTGGCAGAAAGCACCGCACAATCGCACCGCGAGACGAACAAAATAAAAAAAATAAATAAAAAAATATCTTCGGCACAAAAAGATCCTCCGCGAACGAGAGGAAGGTATACAAGAAGTGGTTTTGTGAAGGTTGCGAGGACTATGGCTATGAAGACGATGCCGGTACGATATCAGCACGCACAACCGCTATACTGGTCGTGCAAGTAGTGTTACTCGCTGACGAAGGCCCCCGGTCCGCTGTACTTCGGGGGGGCACTGGTTTATGTTGTGTTTCGATATACCTGTGCTCCGCGACTCCAAGATGTATCATACAATTTTGCAAGTATATTCGATATTATTGATCACATCGGTTTACCACGACTTGATATTTGATAATAGATAGATAGTTTTTTTGATAACTAATAAATTGCGCGTAACAATAAAAAATAATAAATTCTAATTTATTAACTATTACCAAACAACTTGTTTGCGTAATAGTGGGCAGAAAAAGCAACCTTGTCTCTTTTGAACAATGAAACAGCAAAAACAAATGTTTATGATTCCTTAATACGCTTTTTTGGATTTAACTGGCAAATAAAAAATTCAACTTACTTAACCACGTAACTACTTATAGTATGGGAGTTTTTTTATTTGGATAACAAATAATCCGCGGGCAATTTAAATAAATTATAAGGTCAACAAAGTCGTGCGTGCATGAATTTAATAAGATTTTCATCAAAAAAGCCATTAAATGACAACGAAATAATGTATTTGTAATAGAACAAACATAATGCAATATTGTTTTTCTTCGCTAACACTCATTGAAAGCTCTTGAAGCAGTAGTTAGCAAAAAAATTAACAATATAATAATAAATGAAGAGTTGCCAACCATATCAATGACCATCCTGAAAAGGTCAATCAAAAATCTAAAAGATAAATGACTAGCTAACGTTATTAATCTTGGGCACACCGGAGGCATCGGTTTCAGTTTTACTCAACACAACTGTACGTGTTCCGGTCTTTGACATTTAAGAATTAAATTACCGATATATTATAATGGTCCATCGATTCCTATCCTAACTTTAACGCATTCTTTACAGTGGTATCTAATGAACTAATGAAATGAGATTTAAGCCACACATGTTTGCAGGACAAAGGATTGTTAAAAATACCAAGCATCGCAGGACGTAAATTTTAAGGGTTTTATGCGATCCCTTTTCGACCTTAACCGAGATTAGGTGATAACTTTATTCGGCCAGACGTACATATTACAGAGATTTTATTTCAGCTCGAATCGTAAAATGTCCGTCACAGTTCGTAACACCAAATTATGCGGATATTTACATTAATTTTCCGACTAGCAATCTCGACACGATTTCAAAGAATCCACTAATTATACTCAAACGTATATCTGCATAATTCAATTGAACTAAATTATAACTAATAAAAATTAAATTGATTGATAACACGTTTTTATCAAATGAATATTTTCAAGCGACACGAAAAAAACATAGAGCGTGTATAAAATTTTTGAAATTTTTCAAATCAAAGCGTCTGAAGCGATCAAAACTGAACTATAGATAAATTTTCTACGTTATTACGTCACGGTACAATTTTTCAGAATATTTAACGTTACGACACGTCCAACTATTTTCGTATTTTATCCGATAAAAACTTGTTTTGCGATGGAGAATTTAATTTCGTTTTCATTGACAACAGGAAATACTCTCCTTCGCGAATAAGCGCAGTTGAAGCGCTTCTACTTTTTATAGTCACCATTAGAAAACAGAATGCAATTGTAGAAGAAAATCAGTTAATCTTCTTTTATAAAGGAACGATCGGTTTTTTTTTGAGCAGAAATTAATTTCATTTTCTTGTTCCCTGTTATTAGGAGTACTTACGCAACGGCCTTTGAAGTGGAGACTTACCTAAAACAAAAAGTAAAAAGGAATTAGTAAAGATAGCGTGCAGTATGAGAAAACAGCATTCCAATGCATTTTTTAGAGAATTCAAGTGTGAAAGTATTCATTTCATTGTTTGGATATCGTCTTGTTGTGTACCTACGTGTATCCAAAGATCTGATAAGCCTTTTGCTCAACAAAACTGGTATTTTATTTAGAGACATACATAAAAGCCATTATTTATCGCAAATAATTTGCCAACAATTTATAGAATACAAATTTACGTTGAAATTCAAAACCAATAAAGTACCTACCTACTAATTTTTTAATTACCTTCATGAATATTAATTTAATTTATTACACATGCAAAATAATAGTAAATGTAATAAAATCATTCAATAAATCTCATTTCACCGTCAACATAATCGCTCTTCCGTTTAACATGATCAATTATTATTCCTTGATTATTGCTAACATTCAGTTCCCTTTATCTGAATTAATAGCCACGGAAATTAGTTTGCATTTATGAATGATATGTATAAATCTAAAGTATAGCAGCAGTGTAACATGGGAAAGATATTAATTGAGCTTAATTAACTTTAAACTCATTTATTATTAGATCTCGGAATGTACAGACGAATACAAAAAGTGTATGCATAAAACGAAGTAAAGGAAACCGAGATTAGTCTCAATTAAATCCGTAATAAGATTATTTATTATTGTTTTAATCTAATAAGTTATTGCCGATTATTTATTCCTTGCGGATAATGAAGTGCTATAGTAAATACTAACTTTTAGAACGACCCACGTAAATCTGTAAACGCACACATACTCGCAAACTTCCAATTTTATATCCAAACTTTATTACCCGTCCCGTTGGAAGTCCGTAATATACACAATTTAATTTCTATGAATTTTATTTCCTCCGCCTCTGTAGGGTATTCGGCCTCTCTCGCACAATTTGAGATAACAAAGTTTATGCACGATGATGGTAAGGATGATATCGAAAATAGGGAAGAAGAATTACGACGAGATAAGCTAAATCTAATAAAATAAACGGCGAACGTCGCTTCATAATTTTTCCATTTCAATTTGGCCATTTTCTGGTCTCGGCAAAAACGTTCAAAATGTAGACATTAAGGTTTGCATGTAAAGTAATATCCATCCATAATCGGTCAAGGAACTCGGCAAAGGCTTGACCATCTGCGAGCTTCCCATATTGGCGTATGGGATGGGAACATCTAACGAGAATATTCTCAAAAAATTCACGAACATATAAGTAAGAAGCTTAATATAGTTGGCTATTTATTATTACAAAACCATGCGGTTTCAATAGAACCGAGTTTAAGCAAAAAAACTTGAATATACCGACCGTTGAGCATGATAGATTAATAAGGCCCTTTCGTTCCTATCAAAATAAATATTATGATGAATATGATGGTCGTTACGTTACATTATGGGAATAGTTTTCGAATATCGCGAGACTTTAATGCGCCATTCAATATATACGTGATAATATATTAATTAATAATTTCTTAGCTTATACAAAGTTTTATATGAGCCAAGTTACTCAACAATCTATACCTAAATGAAGGTGTAGGCGATGAGAACGAGCTAATATAATAAACCAGAAAATAATTGCAAGAAACTATGTAATTATTCTAAAACAATTTATTAATATAGTGGTTGAAGTAAAATTGTAAGAGTTACAGTAAACTTTGTAAGAATTTCGCCTGTACTATCACAATACTATATCAGTATTCACGTTTCAGTACTGCCGCCGGTGTCAAAGACTACATAATGCTAAATAGTACTTTGGTCGGTTTTGACCAAGGCCGTCCGGGTGCCCACTCACGTCAGGAATCTACGGATAAAGCCCGAACAAAGGGCTCGTGGGCCGATACTGTCACCCCCCCTTCGCTCGCTTGCCCCCTATCGCTGACCCCCTCATCGCTCTTCGGCCGTTTACCAGATCGAATGTACAGGGCGATTGTAAATGCGCAATTTCGCCAACTCGCCAAAAACAAGCAATTACAAGAGAACAAAAAACATTTTTAATGAGCCGGGAAATGAATTAATTATGCAGTTTTATTAGTGACAAAATTACAAAAAAAGGAAAGCATGGAAATGGAAGCACCATAAGTTATGTAGATGATAGTAAAACAAAGCTTGCTACTCTCATTGATAACTCCTAGAAAATTCATTAAGAATTGCATACTTATGTAGATTTAATACAATTAAATGCATTTAATGAAAGTTTAATGATTAATGCATCTAGTTTAGGAGGTATTTATTTATTGCACTAATTACCATACCGTAGAATTTCCATTGTTTTAACCTAAATTGATATAGTATTAATGTAACGTTTGAGGTAACTAGGACAATTTACATATGCGGGCATTAATTTTGTAATAAATACCTTATGTAGAAGGTTTTTTTTTGTTGCAACGTAGTTGATAAAAAAACGAAATTGTGTCAATGTTTTTCCCCGTAGGACTTCCTTACACGAAACTTTTCTTTACAGATAACACTTGTGCGCCCTTTTCGCGTGAAATAACACTTTTGAACCCACTTTTTCGCGTGCTTTCTCTTTGTATTTGCTCTTACAGCGCTGTTCTGACGAAAGAAAAGCGAGAACTAAAATAGACCGTCCTATATAGACTACTAGTCTTTCCAATTCGAAACAAACATATTCTCCATGTTTTCTAACTTTATTGTAAATTGCACTAATCAAAGTTTAGTGAACTTTCCAAAAAAATTAGGTGTGAATTTCATACCTTAAATTACAAAAGCAAAATTCTTATGTAATATCTAAGAATCGCAAGAGACATGTACGAAAATTGCAATCATAATACTTCAGAAGTTGTTCTGTTCGAAGTTATTCGAGCGAGACTCTGATAAAGCTGGACGAGTGCCAAGAAATTAATTAAACGGTGTCCGAGTTCTGCTGAGTACCAAATGACGGAAGAAATGCAATTAATTTCGCGTTGAAAACATGTCAAATATACGGAAATTAATTCATGTTCTTCTATCAGGTAGCCGAATTCTGTATAAATTTGAAGATGAAAATAAGAGGCGCAACTACAATTCACACGACCATTTATCAAACAATATAAAATATTTCTAACACGGCAAACATTTATAGTGATAAATTCAACTTAACTTTGAGCATTTAGAAATGTAAGAAATAACACCGAAGCCCATTCGACCGCAAAAGTATGCTTCGTTGGCAATGACAAATTCTCAAGGAAACTATACGTTTTCTTTATCAACATTAACGCCGACGAAAAAGTTCTAAAAACATCCCCGTAAATGGTGTGGAGGAAAAGAACCAGAAAATATATTATTCCTCGACAGAAACATCCCAACAAATTATACCGCCCGAAAAATACACGAATAATTCGTCATAA